TTATCTAATTAATCCCCTTTATCTAATTAATCCCACTTCCTTGATTTATTTAATTAATCGCATTAATGTGATTAATTTCCAGGATATCTAAATCGAGGAATTGATTGTTGTACCCGTTCTCACGTGAGGTCCTGGCAGAGTATTTACATCACGTTATCAGGCCTCACAATACATATTACAAATAAACTATCCATGCATAAAGTCATTGGTCTATCCAATTAGTGTCTATTACCCTGATCATCACGGGCACCACGTGCCCACGTAATGTTATAATTGAAATCCAAACCTTGACAACTAAACATTCCCTGAATGTAGTATACAGGGGTTTGACCACCATCGTGACAGGAGCTAGACCCCCATGATCTTCATTCTCGAAGTCACCACCTTGCAAATTCATCCATTTTGGCTTTTGCTTCAATCTTTTTTTCCAGTTTCTAGTAAAAGGATCTGCTAATGCACTTCCATCCATTTTGTTCAAATACAGATGACCCTTTTCTCTGATTCTTTATACAACGAATGGACCAATCCATCTATAATTCAGTTTCTGGAGTAAATTGTCAAGTGTTGAATCATAAACAAGTACAAAATCACCAACTTCAATCTTTTCTTTATATGCATTCGCATGATAATTATGAAATTTCTTCTATTGTTCCCGAAGTTTATCCCGATTCACCTTTGCTTCCTTTAATTCATGCACTAATCCATTCATTTGTTGTGTTCTAAAAGCCAATAGGTCATCAGTAGTCCAAGTTTTCTTGGTCATAAAAACTTGATAACTTTCAAGAGTTAATTCAATTGGGGTTATTGCATCACAACCATATACTAGTTTAAAAGGTGAGTAACCCAAATCTCCTACAGTGATATTAAGTGCCCAAACAGTATTATGCAAATGTTCATGCCAGCGATTTTGTGCTTGCGCGTTAACCTTTCTCAGGATACGAGTAAGTTTTTGCACCGTTCGTTCAGCCCTACCATTGGCTTCCGGATGGTAACTGGCTGTGAATTGTTGTTTTACTTGTAATCGCACAGTCAATTTCTCCATTAATTTATTTTTAAATTTTCTACCTCTATCGGAGGTTAATTTAGCAAAACATCCATGCCTAGTGATTACTTCATCCCAAATAAATGCTGCAATTGCTTTTGCATTTTTATTTCTTAATGCTCATGCCTCAATATATCCAGTTAAATCTTCAACTGCGACGACTATGTGTTCATGGCCAGCAGAAGTTCTGGGTAAAGGCCCAATGCAGTCAATATAAAGTCGATGGAAAATCCAGCTTGTGGCAGTCATGTGAATAGGCTCTGGTAATTGCTTACCACTACATTTTTGACAAATTTGATAAGATGGTACATACTTTTTTACATCTTTATATATGCTACCATTGCCTCACACATAATTCAACAAGAATTTTCTAACTGTGCCATTCACACCACAATGTCCATCTTCTTCTGCAAGTCTTTCATGATTCACCTTCATATTACTAGCTTTTTCTTTATCATTTACTATTACTCTACATGGTGGTTTATTATTGACAGACCTTTGAAACAATTGACCTTCAATCACACAATACCTTTTGACTTTGTTTTGGAGTCTTGGTAAGTGTTCCTTTTGCACATCATGTGGCCAATGCATATACTTTAAATAGAATTTAACTACTTCCAGATCCTTTGCATATTGATCAACTATGCTATTCATACTTAATAACAATGAATTAACAAATTCTTTATCTGAAGGTCAATTTACAGGTAATGCTGGGTCAGTATATCTTGAAAGACCATCAGCATGTCCATGTTTTTTATCATATCTGTACTGTACATTAAAATCAAATGCTTGTAAAGCAATTACCCATCACATTAAATGTCTTTTTAACTGGGTTTTATTGAATAGCCATTCCAAGGTTTAATGGTCAACCCATATGTCAAATGTTGTATCTGCCATGTATCACTCACACATGTTACAACCAAAGACTATGACCAAGCATTCTCTTTTGGTTATCATATAGTTCAACTCATGCGAGTTTAATTTTCATGATTCAAATGTTACAGGATGAAGCATTTCCAGATCATCTTTCTGTTCGAGAACTACATCTAATACAAAATCACATGCATCAGTACTCATCTAATAAGGGTGATTTTCATTTTTAGCGTCTTGCCAATTTGGTCCTTTTAACATTACATCATCTACTATTTTTCGTTTTAATCATTAAAATGCTTCAGCTTGTTCTTTATTCCATTTGAACGTAATGTCATTTTTGGATAATTCAGTAAGTGGTTTAGAGATTGCACTAAAATTCTTTACAAACTAACGGTAGTAGTTCACAGTGCCTAAGAAAGCACAAACTTCTTGAATGTTTCTTGGGGTTTTCCATTTGCTTATTTTACTTTTTCAGCTTGGATCAGGTTTTATACCCTGTTTACTGACAATAAATCCATACATGTTCAGTTCTTTATACAGCAGATGGCACTTTTTTGTCGCGAAGATAAGACTGGCATTGCTGAATGTCTTTGCAAGTTTGACAAACATGTCAACATGCTCCTCTATTGTTCCGCGAGTCTAAAGCCCAATATCATCCTGATATATGGCAGCAATACTTCTCCATACTTCATCTTGAAATAAAATGTCTATTAAATGCTGAAATGTTTCACTAGTGTTTTTGAGCCTTATACACATAACAGTATAATATAATATACCTAGTAGAGTAGCAACAGCTACTTTGTCTTTATCTTCATCACGGATTTTTATCAGCCAATAGCCTTTATAGGCATCTATGCTTGAATACCAGTCATGTCCAATGGCTTTCTTCAAAATGTCACATATGATCGACAGAGGATATCCATCTTTGATAATATATTTGTTTAAGGGTCTCATATCGCCAACTACCCTTAGTTTGTCAGTACCAATTTCCTTTTTCTTGACCGAAAAACAATAGAAAGCATACTGGCCCATGCCTTTTTCCAAAAAACCATATTTTATCATATTCTTAAGTTGATCTTCAAACATTTGGGCATGCTCCAGATTGTTGATTCTTACTGGATGTATATGCATAGGTGGTATTTCTTTTCCTCCAGTTCTTATTTCATACTGGATTAGATCTGTTTTCCTGATTTCTGACATGTCGAATGCAAATACGTTGGGAATTTCCTTCATTAATTGTTCTTGCATCCATTGTTTTTCTTCTGTAGAAATACAATCCCCAAAGTTCAGTTCATTACAATTGTCTTTTGTTAATCTTAATACAACTTTCAGATCTGACCCTTTTATTGTTTTGTTCTTCTGTTCATGTGTGTTTGACCAATAAATTACATGCCCAACAAAGTTCTTTCCTTCCAAGTCATGTAAATCAATAGGTTCTATTTCTTTTACACCTAGTCAATTCAAATTATTAGCTTTCTGTACAATGCTTCTCCATTCTTCATTATTATTATATAGTACGTTTTCATCTATCTCTATTCTTCGCATAGTCATTATGTCCTCTGTGTCAGTTTTATTATCATAATCGTCATTCTTTTCTGACAGGTTCACCCAAGCTTTAGGAATGATTAATACCACAAATGAAGCTTCTTTAAGGTCTGACTTTATAGTACACCATAATTTATTGTCTTTCCATTTTAGGTTAGATTTCACCACAGCGAGCAAGGACATGCCCAGTAAGACTTCAAAGCTTGTGGCTTTCATTACGTAGAACTCTTGTAATACTCTAATGCCTTCCACTATTACTTCGACATTAGGAATGTATCCCACAAATTCACTCAAACAGTCATCGGCCATTTGGCCTTTGCTGGTTACAAATTTCCAAGTCTATCTCCTTCGTTTAGCGAATGATTCATGCAAAAGATTCAGCTGTGAACCAGGGTCAATAGGAGTTTCAACTCTTCATTATTAATTTTTGCTATTTCAATAGGGATGTTTCCTATTTTTAGGTTAAGTTCTGTTTGCATTCCCTGTACAATTCAGATTTTTGTGTTTACTGACAATACATCGCTTTCTTTTTTCTTTCTAGTCAATCCTTTAAGCACTTCAGTTCTGGCCTTTGGAGACCATTTAAACAGTTGACCAAGTGTAATTGGAAGTTTGAGTGATGCAATTTGCTTCAGAATATCCAATTCTTGTGTTAATTCTCACATAGGGATATACATTATTGATCTTTTTTTGTATTGTTCAGTTTCTTCGGGTGTTTCAATGTAAGTACTTTTCTGTGCCCATGAAGGCATTTCATGTTCATCCTCTACTCATCTTCATTTGCCCAAATTCCTTACATCAAATAATGATTTGCCTTCTTCAGCTTTTATCATCAGGTATTAATCACCTTCACCTTTTACTATGTCATTAATCTCAAAATAACACACATTCATACCCTTTATTTTAAGGTTACCGGCTTCATTATTCATTATCTTATTTCTTTGATTGGTGGGTTGTTGATGCAGAGTTCTGGCAGGACAATTGCGAGCAATATGCCCTTCTTGACCACATTTATAGCACCTTCGAAGTTTATTTACTTGATTCTGGTTATTCATGTTTTGATCTTGTGTTGCATTATTCGTCCTTTAATTACATTGTGCGTTAGGTGGTTTATTCTCTTTAAGGCTTATAATGGCTTTTGTTAACTTTTTGATGCTTGATTCCATTTTGCTCATTCGGTCATCTTGGTCTAAATTCTGATCAACATGGCAGATTTTCATAACATTAAAAGCTGTTGTAAGATCGCCTATATGTGATTTTATTACATTAGATTCATTAGTTGTATTCTTACAAGGTACGTAATCATTGTCTTTATTATATTTTCCACCTTCAAAGCCCAATTTTTGGCATCATTATATGGTTTAGGGACATTGCATTTCCACCTTTCCTCTAAAAGGTTCTCTTAACCCTTGTATGTACCATTGCCATTTCTCATTTTTCCTTATTTCAGTCTTAACTAACTTTGCACAAGCATCAAACCGATTGGTGTAGGCTTTTATTGTATCATTAGACTTTTGCTTGATGCTCCTTAATCATTCCATTTTTTCTTCTTTATTACAAGATGCTTGAGCCCCACTTATGATTGCGGCTTTTAGGTTTGTCCATGTTGTCTGGGCTTTAATTTGTTCACGAATCCAGAGTTTCAGGTCTTCGGATACATGGAGTCTAACTATTTGTCGTTTCTTATTATCATCCCAATCCTTTGATGCACAATATGCTTCATAATCCTCAAGAAACTCTTTCACATCTTCATTGTTATGGCCATGATAAATGGTTTTGTTGAGTCAGAGCCCCTCATTCTTTGTTGCCCAGATAAGTCTTGCTTTATTATGTACGTTAAATGTGGTGTTAAAATAAAAAAATTTTTTTTTTTTTATTTATTTTGCACAAGCAGAGTTCAACCTATGCTAGTTATTGAAAATTTCTTGCAAGAGGCCTTTATTTGTGCCCAGGTCCTTCCTTGTCAAGTGGGTACACACTAGACAGCCTCCTAGTGCTAGTTCAGCTCAGATCGGACACTTTGAGTTGATCAGCAAACCCACAGGGCTTAGCGACATCTCCATCGATTCTGGAGCAACACCTTAACCTTACGAAACTCATACATACAATTACTCTAGAAACTACAAGTTAGTATTTTATTTAACTAAGTGATTTCTTATTATTGAGAAAGAGAGAACTGGATTCACTTATAAATCCTTTATTCTATTTATATCAATTCTCTGACTACAAATTGGTTTTATCAAACCATACATCAATGCCTACGTATTTAATGCAAGATTGCGCACAAATAACAATAGACTACATTTATGACATACATATTACAAATAAACTATCTATGCATAAAGTCATTGGTCTATCCAATTAGTGTCTATTACCCTGATCATCATGGGCACCATGTGCCCACGTAATGTTACGATCGAAATCCAAACCTTGACAACCAAACATTCCCCGAATGTAGTATACAGGGGTTTGACCACCATCGTGACACAAGTAACTAATATAACAAAGCTTTGGTTTTTACTTATTATAATCTAAGTAGTAATCGTATTTTTTTCTGATAAATTATAAATTTTAATTTAATCTACTATATTAATAAGGTAGCTGCATAATGCAATCACACTAGAAACCAGGAACGAAAGCAATTATAGTAGCTAACAAATAGTTCAAGTTAGATCTCATTAATATATTGTGAAACATTTAATTTACAAGGCATCATATAATAAATTATCGGGTTATCAGATTATCCAAAAAATTATTTTATTACCTTTGATGAACATTGATTATCATTTAATAACCCAATAAAAATCCTATAAAAAAATGAAAAATGTTAAATATCAGGTAATAAACAAAATAATCTGTATTGAGTTACCAAGTTTTGAGTCTAAAATTGTGCTTTTACTATCATTAGTTATCAAACTACAACATTATGCTCTGTAATTACCTGAATGCATATGTATATCTGTTAATCTACATGTATGATGAATTCATATGTGAAAAATAACCAAAATTTGATAAATAAATCATGCAGACCAATCAAACTTAGATTTTGTAAACAAATCTCAGTTCAAACATTATATAATTTATACACTTATTACATTTGTTCTTGATACAATATCACATTCGTTCCCAGTATATTTAATATAGCAATTAATGAATCAATTAGAAGATAGAAGAATTTTGGTTTGACTTAAAACATTACAACAAATAAATATATGTTGGTATTTGACAATTTGGTTCTAAAAGAAATAAAGATAATAGAATATATGCAAATTTCAAGCAATATAACACATCTTATGCTTGCTGTCAATTATGTGACCTTCAGAAGATACAAGTAAAAATAAGAATATCAACAATTGCATTAAAGAATTTTAACTTAAAACTGCAAAATATGAAAATGTAATTGAATGGATTTCTTTTAATAGTTTAGTTAATATTCAAAAGAATGGAGATAGATTTTTAGCAATATAGTTAGATGGAATGCATTATGTAAATTATGAATATGTTAATAATAAATATAAATATATGCAGTTACATTTATTATTATATAAAGTAAAATTAAAATATTGACATGAACAAGAAATAATTTAAAAGTTTATATTATTTTATTATATCAAATATCAGATCAGATATGTAGTTTGTTTAATCTATATATTTAAATTATATGTCAATATATTATTATATATTTAGTATAGCAATTAATAAGTCAATTGGGTCAATTAGAGAATATAAGCATTTGTAAATTAATCTAAAATACAGTTACAAATAAGTATATGTTGGTATTTGATAAATTTAGTTGTGAAAGGATTATGAATACTAAATATGTGCAAATTGCAAGTGATATTACACATTTTATGCTTAATACAATTCTCAAAAGATAATATAAGAATAAACAAGTAAAAATAAGAATATTAATAAGTACATTAAGGAATTTTAACTTAAAGCTACATCTTATCATAAAGTAATTAAATGGATTTCTTTTAATATTTTAGCTAATGTTCAAAATATTTGCAATAAAGTTTTAATAATCTAATTAGTTGAAATTCAAAATTATTTAATGACCAAATAATTATTGGCAAGGCCAGAAGGCATAATACCCCTACAGGCCTTACCCTTATTACTCACTGGCAC